GAGGATTTGCAAACAATCTAATGCGTTTGTCTCATGATGTCACGGAATTTCACGCCGACTTGCCTCCCAAAGGGTTTTATAATTGCAATTTCAGCCTCACTTACTTCTCTCCCAACACGACTCGAAATTTGGTCATGAGGGTCGTTGCGATATATTACCACTCTGCTCACATCCATTTGGACTAGGTATGACTTTCGAGGCAAATTGGGTCCTTCCAAAATTAAATTTATTATGTGATTGTCGATTGGGTAAAAATGTGTTTGCCATTACACTTAACGACGTGGCTTATATTCATTTTGACTGTGTTTAGAAACTAGCAATAATTCTTGGTTAGAATTTAGATGACTCAGTTTTACATAGTTTTGCCTTCATAAAGACGTTTTTCTTCAGGGTGGACTGCATTATCAACCTCGCCAGTCCCTAAATCTTCTTAAGCGACTTAGGATTATTAATTTCTTGCTCATTAATTAGTGACAAATTTTAAATCCAGGCAAACTCATTCAGGGTCTCAGATAATGTTGCATTTGACAATCCGCCAGGTTAGAAGGGCTGGAACTATGACTGGATCTGCTTCAAGAATCCGAGAGCTACGAGATCATAGTCTGGTGAGGCTGATGAGGAATTAAATGTGGCCAATGCTCAAACCGATTGGTAAACTGTCAATACTAATCTCGGGATCACTCCTTTCGAGGCATCTTGGCGTTGTGAATCGTGGAGATAGTGAAGGGTTTCTCTTCATCTTCGCCTCGCAAGTGGCCTGGCAATCTTGTAACGCCAAATATCCTTCGCCGGCTTTAATTGCCCTACTTTTTAGTGGATGGAAATGCCGCTAGTTTGTAAACTATTTTATTTATTTTTCGTTCATAATTAGGGTTGCTATACTACCAGTAGGTCAGTTATATTAGATGTATTCACTCTATTCCATTTAAGCTGATGAAGGACTTGGAAAAGCAAAGCTGTGTGAAATTCAGTTGAAATGTGTGCTCTTCTCATATGATTTTGAGAAAATGCAACTGC